TGGTTTAATGTGGTCAAATATAAGCAAGAAAAGAGCCATGACCTTGCAGTTGATAGGATTCTAGAATTAGTAGATGGTGGCTGACTACATCATACCTCCTTCCATAATTTGCATCTAAATCAGAACTTTATAAATAAGAACTGCATTCATGTAGTTATGGCTTTGACAAACTTAGAAGAAACTAAGTCTCCACCTGTATGTGTTAACATGAAGGAGGATGTAAAACAGTATTTACATACTGGTACATCAAAATCAACATTTGGCCTAGAAACTGATCATCTTCTGTCTGAACTAGAAAATACAGAGAGGGAGAGAGCTACCTCAAATTTCCAAGATTTTTTTCAGTCCCTCTTTTTCAAAACTGAATAAATACCTGGATACCCACCCTGTGTATAACTTTTACAAGACTGCCTACCCTGTATAAGCCATGATTTAGACAGTTTTGTAGCATCAAGGACTTGCAATGTCTTTCTACTGGTCTTCTTTAAGAATTTCAAATGTATGTGAATTACCAAGATGATTTACCAAATCCTTTTAATATCCCATCATTTTGGAATACAAATAAGAGCAGATTTCCTGTTCTGGAACAGATTGCCAATAGGGTCATATGGATGCCTGTTACCAGCATGGATGCAGAATATTCATTTTCTCAATAAAAATTTATTCAATAAACAACATGAAAGTTTTAACCCTAAGAACAACAATCAACTCACAATGTTGTATTACAATGGAGATTTAGAGAAGAGATTTGAAGATTAGAGATTTCCTAAAATAAGAAATTATTAATTTTAAATTTGAGCAAGATTTCAACTTGGGATAAGTTGTTTTATTTAAATTTTGAATTAATATGTCTAATTTGTTTTTTGATATTTTGTTACAAAGATTCAGTTATTATGCCAAAAATTACTGTTTTGCAAAATTTTAGACAAAATGTTTGATTCTATTCAGGTATTTATTATTGAGATTCAAGTTATTTGCAGTTGATAATTTAAATGTGATTTTTATATTATGAATCAATAATTATAAATCAGTCTAAATACTTAAACAAAAATGATTTGAATGTGTTTTCAATGTGTGTTCTTAAAGAAGGAAGTGCTGATTAAAAGTTCTATGTCAAAGATAATTATGTACTGTAACATTCCATTGTCTATTCATGTTACATTTTTTATTTTTACATATTTATTTTTGGACTTGGATTTTAACATTTTAAAAAAGATTTGTAGATATTAGTTATTTCTTTATATGCAAAAAAACTTTGAATTATTTTTTTGCTTTCAGTTTTATTAATAATTATAGCATACTGTATTGCAATTTTCTTATAAAATGCTATAAAAAATGGAAAAAATGAAATTTCCCAAAGGTAAAAACAGGAAAAAAAAAAAAAATAGAATTTACCAAAAGTGGAAATGGAATCGAGGAAAATTTGAAACAGAAAATCAGGGGCCATATATATATATTTAGTTAGTTTCATATAACTGTGTAAATGTTCTATCTATTGCTTTATTTTATTTTTATTTATGTTGGAATATTCAGTTTATAATCTTAACCAGCAATTTCAGACTTTCCTTTTTAAAAAAAAAAAAAAACATCAATCCTGTTTTTAAGATGTAAAAATATCTCCTGCTTTAGGGGTCTTAAACAAAAAGATATTTGTGAAGGACTTTTCTGGCTTCATTAAAATCTGATCTAGAAAAAGTTTTTTCTCTTTTTAATTTACATAAAAACAGTTTTAAACCTTTGCACACCTAAGATAACTTAAATCATGGAATGTGAAAAGAATTTATTAATTCATATAAAGAAAGAAATTGGCTACAGCTTTAAAAAATAAGTTTAATTGTTACAAAGATAAAATCTACTTTCATAATTTTTTTTGTTTCATTTTCTATTTATTTTTTTAATAAAAAATCTACCAAATTTAATTTCTGAGGCAACTAAATAACTCCTTTATTTTAGTTTAATTGCTGCAAGTATCAATAATGGTTGACTAATAAAAAGAATAATTAGATAAGATAAAAATGTAAAATATTTGAATAATGTCCCTAAATTAATTAAATAGAAGCAAGAATATAATGCTATATAAAAATCCTTTCTGCAACAAACACAACACTTGAAAGTTTTCTTTGCTACCTCTGTCTCCTTCCTTTTTTTTTTTTTTTTTTTTTTTTCAATCCATGGATAACCAATCATTATAGCAATCATAACTCTCTCTCACTCTCATTCACTCACTCACTGTCTCTCGCACACACACACACTCTAAAGTTTAAAGTAAGTTACTCTACTTTTTTGCAGAAAACAGAATAGCATAATGAAAAAGACCAGATTTCATAAAAATAAAGTTTTATCGTCTAAATGTTTATTATCAAGATGAAAGACCAAAGTAATTTTTTTCTCCTTAGTTTTTTAATCCTTTCTAACATGTTCAAAATTTTGGTTAAAATTTTGTTTTGTTTACATCATCTGGGTGTCATAATAATTACATTGCACTCCCTCACCCCAATGATACCTCATTGATTTGGAAATTCTTGTAAAAAAAAAAAAACATCAAATAATTGTCCGATTTTAATGAAATTTTCAGGACTTATTCACAATTGAATGAAATTATTTTTGGAATTTTTTTTTTTTTTATTATTTTACATGTGTGCCCCCCCCCACACACACACACACACACACAGAGGTACACTTACTTAATTTCATGAAATTACACAAAATGCCTTTTTATTTCCTGAATTTTTTTATTCATTAAAAGTAGGACTCCTTGGAGAAGCTAAATCTCCTAATTTTTTTTTTCCAAAACTTGCACTATTCTAACTGAAAATCTTCTGAATTAAAAAAATAATGAATGCAATAAAACTATGGCATTATTTAATTAGAAAAGCTTTTAATTACTTTTGTAAATAAGTTATAATAAGGACATTATTGTCTGAAGAAATAAAATTTTTCCAATGAATAATGAATTTTTACAAGAATTTTTTTTTTTTTTTTTTTCCTAATTTTAATTATAATAATTTATGATAGTTTAAAATCGTGTAAAATTCTGTATTGGGCTAGTTCCTGGGTGTTATATAGTATTTTAGTAGAAACGAAATTTACGAATCCAAAATTGAAAAGATTAATAGTTACATTATTCTATTTTTAAAATAATTTTTAATTTTTTCCCTTTTTTTCATCTATGAAAGGCTAAACCTGACATCATTATGAAAAAGTCACTTGATCTAAGAGTTTTGTTTATTTACAGAGAAATTTAAGAAAATTTTATAGTATTTAAAAAAATTTTTTTTTTTTTTTTTTTTTTTGCATAAAGCATTTTGAAAGGTAAATAAAAATCAATGAATTATTACATAATTGCAGAAAATGTTCATTTGTAAAAATTACTAGGTAGTTAAAAACAAAAAAAAATGTGTTCACTTAGATTTCATAAACTTTGTCAATTTTAGTCAGCCATACTAGCTGTCATCGCTTTATCACTCAATCATCCATCAAACATCACTTCAGGTAAACATGGTTGTATATTAATTTTTTTATGCTATAAGTAATATTTATTTCCAATCAGATTAACTTTAAATTTTCTAATTTTACTCAAATATTGTGTTGTATATATATATATATATATATATATATATATATATATAATGTGTGTGTGTTTCGAAGAGTTTTAAAATCGATAAATTTGTTTGCTTATAAATTTCTTAAAATTAAGAAAATGACCTTTTTTTTTTCTTTTTTTTTTTTTATTTAAGAAAATTTTAAGAAATTAAATTTGACATTCTAATCTATAATTTCTCTTTGAAATACACCAGAATATTTTACTTACTGGAAATAATAAATTTAATTCTTTAGCTTTCAATTAAAGTTAAGATGAAATCTTCAAGAATGCTTTTTCATTTCTAAAAATTGTAATTAAACCATAGGTATCGAAAATTTATGCTGACAAAGTGGAGGTATCTAGTTTAAAGTATGTCTATATGCTATAATGATTTTGGGTGCCAATAATTTAAAAAATTGACTTCACAAGAGAATGATGAAAGAATCTAACTAAAAAAAATAAAAAAAAAATTTTTTTTAATTATTTTTAAGTTTAAGATAATTACTAAATAGGCAACCCTAATTTTGTAGTGAAGAGTCTGCACTACTATTTAACACATAACTGGGAGTAGAAAATATAGTTTTGTGCCTTTCCCAAGGGTATTTGTGTGAATGTGACAAACTTGACTGTAATTCAAACTCTGCTCACTAATTTCTCATTTCAAGCATTTACACCACTTTAAACATGCACATCACTTTATAAAATTAGAAATTTTTGTCAATATCAAATATTTGATAGTCTTCAAATTGTCTTCCTGTTAAATTTAGTAAGATTATAACTTAGTTTCTTTTCTTTCTTTCCCCCTTCCCTTCTCCAATGAAGGATGATTATTGAATAGTCAAACCTAATTTAGTATTGACCTTGGTTCAGTTTTGAATTCAATTTTTCTTCTAGTGTTTTTAATAAGATTTTGTTAAAAACTCTTGGAAATGTTGGATCATCCCAATGGAGTGCTGATTTAGGTGAAATGCAGTGGAAGGGAACAGAAATCCAGAGGAAATACTTTGATGACTGAATAATGATGCTATGAATTTATGAATAAAATTATTTTTAAAAATATGCTAGAAACTGTTGCATCAAACTAATATTTCAAGTCCTTTTGTTTATTTTTTTTGATCTTTTATATTTGAGCAAAAACGAAAATTGCTGGTGTCAACTTGGGTATTATTCTACAAAAACTTTCTGTGAAAGTCTTAGATTTACATTTATAAATCTAAATGTTTTGTAAAGTTTCCTTGCCTTTTGCTAAATAACTTTTTCTTTACACTTTACTAATGGAGTAAAATATGAAACATTTGACAAAATCTACAATTTCATTTTGATCAATTTATAGTTTACTTTCCATGGAATTTTATTGAAAGAAAAATTTTACTGAAAATGAATGGCCAAATTTTAAAACATTTTATCTTTTTTACAGGATGAATCTATTGAGAATGAGCGAGGAATTGGTGGTTTTAAACGTAAGTTATCTAAAAGAGAGAAAAAAGAGAAAAAGAAAAGAGAGAAGGAACGACTGAAGAACAAAGAAAATCTTAACAAGGACTCAACTCTGGCAGAGAAGCTCTACACGGATGTTCCAGAGAACAGTTTCACAAGAAGCATTTCAAATCCAGAAGCTGTGATGCGAAGACGGCGCCAACAAAAAGTGGAGAAGCGCTTACAACAATTTCAAAATGAAACTGGATCAGAATCTGGTCAGTAAATTTTTTTTTTTTTTTTTTTTAATTAAGATAATTTATTAAAAATATTTAAATGTTATTAATAAAACTGAAGATGAAATTTTTTTCCTCTTTGATTTAAATTAAATTTAAATTTGAACAAGGAAATGAATCCTGTCCAAAATATAGGAGAAAGCCAGAAGATGGAGGTCACATCAGCAAGATCAAAATAAGACAATATGGACATCAAGTTGAGCAAGAAATCACTAATCAGTGGGTAGTGCCTTACAATACATATTTGTTGCAACAATTCAACTGTCATATCAAAGTTGAAATCTGCTCATCATTTCGTTCAATCAAGTATTGCATCAAATATATATCAAACAGTTTTTGCACAAACACCCCCACTGAATTTTTTTTCCTTTTGATTTAAATTAAATTTAAATTTGAACAAGAGAATGACTCCTCTGCAAAATATAGGAGAAAGCCAGAAGATGGCGGTCATATCAGCAAGATCATTGAGTAATATTGAAATGTATCATTTTTCTCCATAGATTTTAAATCACTGTTAGAATTTATCATCATTTTCTTCAGTTCAGTTATGTAGCATGTGTGATACACACTTAAGCAATCCTGTATCTTTCGATACATGACTGATGAGGCAGATTTTTTTCCCCGCAGTAGGTTGCCATTTTTTTTTTTTTTTTTTTTTTTTTGCGGTAGATGAGTTGCCATCCAAGGCTATAGAACCCGGTCTGTCCTGCTATTTACCAATAGTCAGGGGGAGCAGAAGAGAATTCATACCTTTCTCAAGGGTATTAGCATGTAAGTGAATGTAATGATTCGCCTGGAATTCAAACTTGGCTCTCAGATTTCTTAATCCTAGCCGTTATCCATTACTCCACCTTATTGTGACATGCAACAAGGCTCAGGTAATTCAGTTTCTCTCTCTCTCATATATATATATATATATATATATATATATATATATAATTTGATCTTACTGTAGAAAGTATTAATGGATTAAAGACAGGTTGACTGAAATTCCTAATTTGCTTTTAAAGAAGCTCAAGCCAAATATATTGAATTTATTTCAGCAATAAAAAAGCAGTAGATAGACATTTATCTGTGTTAGTGAAGTAATTTCATTCAGTTACTTTTAAAAAATGCCATTACAACATGAAGGTGGTTGAAAAAATGAGATAAAAGCTTACCTTTTATCTTATTCAGGCAATTTCCTGAATGCTTTGTCTGATATTTGGAAATTTGTGCAATCCAATATCATATCTCTTACTTAGAATAGTTAAGTATCATGGATGGAGAATGTTTAATTTCTTTGACCATTGCTTTAAATTAAAGTCTTTTTTGTTTTTTTAACTATTATTTCCTGTAATCTTTTAAAAAAATCTTCTCAGTGAAACTGAACACTAAGCATTGTAAGTGTTTCACTTTGCAGGTATTGGCAGCACTAACACATTTTTCTTAAACTTCTCAGTACATTTAATACTTTTGGGCTTATGGTTTTCATTTAGCCTATGGAATATTTTAATTCAAATTCTTGACTGAATGATGGAATGCTATTTGGCATACATGGTGTCATGTGTCACTGCCTCCTTTTTTGTTTTTACCATGTAATTTCAAAATCACCATTACTTTCTGATTTATTTGTGAATTGTGTGTATATATATATATATATATATATATATATATATATATATATATATATATATATATATATATATATATATATATATATATATATAAAATATGTTTCATTAAATAATATAGACAACATGTATTAATGAAAAAGGAATATGACACACACAAGCTGACTATTTTTATGTATCTTGTTGAAGAAATCAGCATTTTATAGAAATGCCTATTTCTACCTTTGATTAAGTAGGAAGTTTCTTTTTACTTCTATAGCAAAAATAAATTTCTGACTTCATTTGATATCTACAAGATGACTGCATTGAGCGTGCACATTGATACAGATGGTACTGTTTGCACAGCTTTTGCTATGCAGATTTTTTCATTGTGAATTTTTAATTACATACTGTCAGTAATTTTTTAAATTTGTTTTACATTTTGATAATTCAGTCAATAAAGTCTGAATTTTTAAAATGGTATTTATTTATTTTTATTTTTTTTTAATCGTTTCACTCCAAGCAAGGCAGGAATGCCACTATTATGTAGGGGGTTTAGAAAGTGAAGGTGAGAGAAATGACTGGGTATAGTAGGGACCAAGTAAAAAATAAAAGCTGAATGGGGTTCAAGAAAATAGAAGATGGCGATTGACATTGCGTTTAAATTTTTGAAGATTGTAGTTATAAGGGAAGAAAGGAAATAGCTTCTGTTTCTTCCACAAGCAGGAAGTGTATGAAAAGAAACTGTTGGCATAAAAGTGTTGACTACATTTACCTAATTCAACAGTAAAAGGGTGGGACATAAATGCCAATCTAGTAGCACACTTAAACTCATGAAGCCCAGGCACCAGGAGAAAAAAGCTTATCAGAGCAGCAGCCATGAAAATATTTGTAGAAAAGACAGTGGGAAGCCATGTCATGTTTGTGAAAGAGTGAGTGAAGTCGAGATGCTAAGTCAGGATTGATTACATTGCAGATCATTTTTTGGATTTTGTCAAGCTACTCGAGATGAGTAGCAGGAGCACTTAACCAGATATGGCAACAGTATTCAATGCACAGATGAATGGTAGATTTATAAATGTGCAAGATGGACTATGACAAGAACCTTCTGGCATGACACAGTGACCCAACTTTCCTTGAGTAGATGCAGCTTTTGATTTGATTTAGTTGTTCCACTTCAAGTCAGTTGAAAATGTGAGGCCAAGAAGTTGCATTGTATTGCTCTCTATGGTCTTTAAATGAGAGCAGTTTCGTTTTGGAAGCATTAAAATTTACAAGCCATTTTCCTTCCCAACTAATTGGAGGCAATTTTCAAGAGCAGTGGCCAGGTTAACTTTGTCAGCTCTGACAGACTTGCTTTTGAGACAGAAATAAATAGTAGTGCCTTTAGCATAAATTCCTACTTGGGAATTGATGACATCAGGAAGATCATTGATAAAGATCAGAACATGACCTAGGATAGAACCTTGGGGGACACCCACATTTGTGTGAAAGGATCTGGAAGCAAGCCCATTCAAAATGACCTTCATTTCACAATTTGATAAAAATGATTGGATTAAATCAAACACATACAATAATACTGCAGCCCTGGAGCTTATGTAAAAGACCAGTGTGCCAAGCCTTGTCAAATGCTTTTGAGATATCTAGAGTGACAGCTCAAACTTTGCTGTTATTATCAAGAACTTGATATACATATGGCTGTTAGCACATTAGCAGTAGACCTGGCAAAACAGAAGCCATATTGTTCGTCAGAGAATAAGGTCATGAGAGGTAAGATGCTTAACCACTTCAGTATTGAATAAAGCCTCAAATAATCTGCTGAAAAGTTGTAGGAAACTAATAGGGCAATAGTTAGAGCAATCAGAAGATTCTGTAGAGTTCTTAAAAACAGGAACTACAGCCAACAAATTCCAACAAACTGGAAAGCAGGAAGCAGCGAGGCAATAGTTGTAATGTTTGGAGAGAAGTAGAGCCGGCTCATGAGCACATTTCTTTAGGATGACTGCTGAGATCCCATCAGACCTTGTGGGAGTCTAATTTAGAAATAATGTCAGAGACCTGTGATGGGATTATGTGCATATCACTCAGTAGAGCCTCTGTTCTAGGAGGGAAATCAAGTGTATGTACTCCAATTGAGTCTAGTGTTGAGTTGGAAGAAAATTTCTGAACAAAGCATTCAAGCTATAGATGATACAGTAAGGTCTAATTAGTTGCTGTCAGAATTGAATTCTGCAAATTGAATAGTCAGAAAGTTTCTTTTGGAAAATGATTGTGCTAGAAAAAAAATCTGGTTTTGTAAGGTTACTTACAAAATAAAGACTTTGTCATTTAAATTAATGAGACTTTTGAGACAATAATCAATTTGTGTGTCGACTGGTTGGCTATTAAAATACAAATGGTAGTGAGATCAGCTTAAATTTTCATAAATCAGTTATTAAAATTTAAAATGTCTGAGTTTGTTTTCTAAATAATTTTAAATTGGAATTTGTTCATAATAATCTTAAAATCATTAACATTTTTTTAGAGATTGGATCATTTTGAAAGGTTATGCTTAAAATTACTATTTAAATTTGGAAGTGTCATAGATTGACATTTGATATTTTCTAAATTTCTTTTTTTTTTTTTTTTTTTTATTACAGGAGTCATGTATTTTAAATGGCTGACTAAACTTTACTGTAAAGTAATGGGAAATATAAAACTGTTTTAAGATACCAAATGAAAAAAATTAATGCTTGAATTTTCATGTAGTATTGTTTTATCTATCCAAAAACAAGTGTATATTAGGTTAAATATAACTCAATGCACTGAAAGGAAAATAGATATTTTTTTTCTTTTCTTTTTTTTTTTTTTCCTCTTGTTCATAACTCGATTATTTTTTTTCTAATTTAACTTTTAATTCTAACAAAGATCTAAAGTTTGTTTTATTCTATTTTTTTTTATTTCCTTTAAAATATCAAGACTAAAATATTTTTATTCAGCAGTCAGCACTAAATTGAGTCAGCCATGGCACACATGCAAAAAAGAAATGAAACTGGTTTTACATTTGAAGAGGAAAAATTATTCCTTTTGTTTTTTGTTTTTTTTCATGTTTTTTGGGGTTTTTTTTATTGTTCTTCTGTTTATCATCTGCTTATTCATGATGGAGACAGCTTTTTTTCTTTCTCTGCTGTCAGAACAAATTCTTCCAGTTGAGAGTGCTTAATCTGAGCAAAGTTAATCAGATAACCTTCCAACTATAATAGTTGAGTTTGCTTTCTTTTAATAAGATTCTTTTTTTTATTTAGATTTTTAGTGTCCTTTTGGATTTATCCAAGCTTTACTTAATTATGAATTAATTGAGAATCATTCTTGCTTTCAATATTGACTGAGTTGCCTAACCAATCAGGTTTAATTCTAAAGGAAAAAATTCTATCTTAAAATTAAATTGCTTGGAATTATTTTTTTAAATTAGTATATTACTTTAATCTGCATACTTAAGATTTTTAGCATGAATACAATATTTACAGTGGTGGGGAATTTGTGTAAAAGATATCTTTGCTAATATTATTTTTATTATTGTTTATTGTAGCATAAGTTTTACAAAATGGTTGAAAAGACACAAATAACAGAAAGGCATATTTGTTGCCAAAGGTTAAAATCTGCTACAATTAAGCAGTCATATTTGTAAATGTTTTTTACCTTTAGGCATGAAACTTAAATTTTGATAGCTCTTCATTCCTGTATTTACATAAACTGAACAAATCCACTTGACAAAAATTTTAAGCCAAATTTAATTATTGGAGGTTATTTTATATACGTAAAAAAAAAAATATGAAAAATCTTTTACATTCACTTTGTTTCAAAATACCTGATTTTTATTTACTGCTTCAAAGAAAATTATCTTCATACTGTTTTCATCTAATTAATGGCAATATTTTCTTCTGAAAAAAAAATTGAAATTAGGTTATAATTATTACAAATGCCAGGTTTGCCAGTATATATGAGTTTGTGGCTCTCCACAGCTTCATTTAATATGTGAATTGCTATGACAGCGGAGTAGTTTCCCATTACTTTCTTCAGTTTTGAACTTGGAGTTGTCTGGTTATCACCCAAGGTTTGAGAGCCTAGTGTACACTACTATTTAACTCATGACTAGAGGAAGAGAAGGATTCATGCTTTGTCCAAGGCTATTAGTGTGAATGGAACAGTGCAGACTGTTAGTTTAAACTTTGCTCACAGTCCACTTCCCATACTGATAACTTAAATTTATGAAATTTAAAAAAAAAAATTTTTTTTCTATGGCTTTAGTTTATAGAATATTCTAATTAAAATTCTTTTGCATTGTAACTTTTTACTACTCTTTTTACATGTCATGAGTAAATTATTGTTTGTTCATATTCAAGCTGTCCCAATATTCATATCCTTATACTCTGCTTCGAATTAGATCAGTTTCCAATTCACTCTATATCAAAAACTGCCAGCCAGATGTGAACGCTACAAAATCAAAAATAAAAATGTCATTCTCTGCACAGGGGCTCTGAATATCACATCCAGCTCACAAAACCAATCTCCCTCCTAATATAAAATACAAATTAAAAGAAGTAAATCCAGAATATTGCTGCCAAAGTAAAAGCATGACAAAAGTGTCATGTATCCACCCAGTCTGCTTTTAAGGACTCTACTAACAATACTGAAACCAAAGTCTGCAGGCAGGCTGTCACTATCACCACCAGTGACCTCAGTCAATCAATTCAACATGAACATCAACTCCAGGCCCTACCAACTTTCCCAATCCTCCAAGCCACTTCCCTTGTCGCCAAAAAGACATTCTGCCTTAATCCTCTATATTGGCAATACAAAGAATTTTATCTTGACAATTATATTTTCTTTTTGCCTCACTGATAGTACATTGTTGTGTCACTTATTCTCTCATGTAACCATATACATTTATAAAAATATTATCAGCTCATTATTAGATAATTTTGTATTTGATATACAACATAGTAGCAAATTAACATCTCATTGCAAAAGGCTGTATAATTTCTTCAAACTATCTCTTCACCTCAAGATGTTCTTCAATTCTCACTAGTGTTGGTGTGAATAAAAACTGGGAAAGGTCCAGTGTACATTTAACAAAGGAATAGATGATAAATGGATTCACCTGGCATGGTCTGGTTGGAGGGTAGATAAATTGGGACCTTTTTGCTGCAATTTCTGTCCTCTCATGACTGGTTAATGGACAAGATCTTGCAATAGCTCTTGACTACATATGAATACAAACTGGTAAAGGTCCAGTGTTATATTACCTGCACATTCATTATGTTTCAATAATGTCCTTAAAAATGTTTAAAAACATTAGACCAACATTTGATCACTCATTCTATCAAGATTTGATCTTTGCAAAATAATATTTGGATTGTAGATGGTGATACTAAATACTCAGTGTATCATGTAATATATCAGTAAAATAAATGTAAGTATCTAACCCCTGAAGTATAATTAGTTTTACCAATTAGTTGGTGTGTTTTGCTCAGTCCTGTTATGGAATCTTAAATTTTTAACTCTTAACATTTTTAGACTTTCTGAACTGAAGAAAAGGTGACATGTTTTGTCGAACCTCAAAAAAGTTAACAGATTTTAAGCTTAATTAGAAAATGTGAATATTGCTTCTTTTTTTTTTTTTTTTTTTTTTAAGTAATATAATAATTTTATATATTTTGCAATTATCATTATATATATTAAGATTATTATATTTATTTGAAGTTGTATATGTATTGTTTATTATTTGTTTCAACTTTTTCCACAGTTACCAAGTTTTACTGTATTAGTATTTTTGTTTTTGTACATCTAAACTGAAGATCATTTGTCTTATTTTTACTTTCTGTTTTTGCTTACCTAAAGTTATATTTATCAACTTTGAATTTTCTAATTTTTTATCAATTGATAGTTTAGGTGTTAGTACTATCAAAAAGGCTGTATAAATGATTTTATTGTATGTTAAATAATGACTATATAATCTATACTATATAAGTATTTTAGGCTTAAATCCTTATATATATTTATTTATTTATTTTTATCTTTTTCTGAAATTAACAAAACTTTTTTATATTCTTGTTTGTTTATTTCTGTTCTATTTCCTATTTCCTAATATATGCTTAATTGGGAAATAACTTGTAATAATTTCTTTCTTCTTGTAGGAGGCATGCTTAAAATTCATGGGGAAGCGCTTAGTCCCAATGTTCCCTACAAAACTCTTCTTGTTTCTGCAAATGATACTGCTAAATTTGTGGTGGAAGAGACATTGGATAAATATGGTGTACCCAAAGAGGAGTCCTATAAATATTGTTTAGTTCAGGTGAGTGCTTTTGTTTTCATTACATCAGACAAAAATGTTTAACAAATTAAAGCTTATTAACAAGTCATTAGTTAAATATCTTGAAGTAATAAAATCTAATTTCCTTGCTAAAAAAAACAAAACTAACTTGTTCACATTAATGATTAAATGAATAGTGATTCACAGATAATAAAAACTGTTTCTTATATATATATATATTTTAAAAAAAAAAAATGATTCCTTCGCTACATAAGAGTTCTCTTGTTTCAAAAAACAAAAGCCAATATATATATATATATATATATAAATATTTTTTATTATCTGTGAATTTGTTTAAAATTTACTATTTTAAAAGGTGACTGTTCCAAAGGGTGACAGGGAGTATCATGGTGGTTCTCTTGGAGATGAAAAAATTCTTGATGATGATGAATGTCCATTGGCTATTCAGCTACAGCATGTTACTGAAAGAGGTAAGATTCTTTTATTTTCTGCTGTAAGAAACTTCTCTCCTTCTCTTGCTCTTCCTCCCTTTTCTATTGTTTTTCCCACCTGTTTTAAATGCATAATCCTTTTGAAAGTTGTTCAACCTTGGAATACAAAAATAATCATTACTAATCAAGTATTTCATTTTAATTTTATTATTTGCTATTGAATTTTGACAATTGTACCAAGCTTAGTATATGAAAATAGGATTTGGTAATTGTATCTAAGCACACTTTGACTATTTGAACAGAAATATCTTCATCAATATTACCATATGAATGCTTGTCATTTTGAAAATTCATTTGCAAAAATCTTTGATTTTGTCAGTTTAATGTGCAGGCATTATACCATAACAAATGTCTTTTATCATTTATATACAATCAATAAAATCAATATTTACATAGAATCATTATTTGATAGAAAATCTTAGTTTCCATATATTCTTGTGACAAAAATAATTAAATTCAGTTGCATGTGATCCAGTTTTCTTTTTTTTTTTTTGTCTATCTTAAATCATTAATTGTAGTTTTTCTATAAACATTTATTTACATTGAATTGTCATGACACAAGTTGCATTGTTCATCAACTGGCATATAATTTTATTTTAGGTTAAAAAACAATCTTCAGATTTCAGTACAAAAACTTTCATTCCATTTTTTCTTATGGTGATTTTCTATTAGTCACTTAGATGTAGCCCAAGGCCAAAAGTATGGAGCACCCAGTGAGGATTGAACTCACTATTTGGTTGTAATTGATCTAGTGAGACAAGCTTGCTAACCATTACACTACATCATAATACCCAAATTCTTTTTTTCTTACCTACCTAGAGTTATTTACACTTATGATCATTTTTGTTTAATTTAAATCCATTCAGTTTCATCTTCATTTCATCTATTGTATAATTTAAAAAAAAAATATTAATGCTTTAGATTGATTCTCTCTTGTTCTCACTTCTCAGACAGAGTTGTGATTAATGAAGAAGGTAGGAGATTGGATGTCCTTTATTGGCATGTGCTATTTGAATTTTGTTTAGAATCTTATGCAACATGTAGCTTTGTAGTTTTTTGTCCAAGACTTGAATCTCTTACATTTCTAATATTTTTCTTTTGCTTTTATTTTTTTCATTAAATAAATTCACTTAATGAAAAAAATCTGTTGAAACAACAGTTGCATTCTTCATCGAAAGGAAATTTAGAATTTAGTTTCTATCCATCAAATTCTGTTTTAATTTGATTCCAAAATACAAGTACAATTTTTTCCTTGCATTTTCTTTTGGTTTTTTATAGTTCATCTTTATATTACTTTCATAAATGAAATTTTTTTTCAAAATAATTCATAATTTATGGCATAAATGTTTATAGTTTCATGTCAAGACTTCAGACCAAGTTAATTTTGTCAACTTATAAAAAGGTTCAGTGAGCTACATGTAAATAGTATTAAATATAAATTACATAATTGTCACTCACTGAATAGAAGCAAATAATTCAGTTTTATTTTTCAGCATTTAATACACACACACACAGAAAAAGACTTAACTTATTCCAAAAGACTGAAGAGAACCTGGAAAATTGAAAAATTCTTCCAAATAGGAGAGAAGAAAATAACTAGTGACAGGAGGGAATAATTGAATCTGTTCTGTTAAAAATTATTGCAGCTGGAATTTCAAGAAAGGAGAAATAATTTGAATAATTAAATGAAATTTCTAATTTTAACTTGTTTCAACTATTTTTTTTTCTAGCACCTCACCAAAATCATTGAACTATGTCCCCTCCCTAAAAAAAAAAAGAAAATACTTATTCTATGTATGTAGAGTAGAAATTAGCTGGTATACATTATTTTCCTCTTACATTTAAGTTTCTGAATATACTTTCGTCAGTTAAGTGCCTTGATATAATGCATTGTATGCAAGATATGATCTTAGTCAATGGATGTCTTAACATTTCTCTTTAGTGTTTTATGACCACCAGCAACCAATTTCTCTGTTGCTTTTAGTCAAGAAATTGACTATTATCTATTGTTAATTTTGATATTCTTTTTAATGATTCCTTTTAGGACAAGGTTCAATCAATTCAATTCACATGCTTTGTGTATTTAATCATAGATTCACATTTTGGAGATATATGCCATAAATAACTTGCATAACTGTTGAAACATGATGATCATGAGTAAATATGATCACAAAATAGATGAACGTTATTTAATAGGTTCAAGTATTTGAAGTAGTCTTTAAACAAAGAGTTTCTTTAAGAATTAAGTGATACACATTTGTGATTATTACAAATGTTTCATAACCTAAATAAAATTTTGTTCAACTTTTTATAATTTTTTTTCCTACCAATCCTCACAGAATGTTCCTGCAGTCATCTTATACAGCATGGCTTTAGTAATTACATTTAATCATTTCAATTACTTAACTTTTTCTCTTTGAGATAACTGATATGAATTTATGCCTGCTACCCTGTGTTGGTAGACACCTATCATCATAGTCCAGATTGTTGTTCTTTCTGTTGGCATGTCTTATATGTTCTGTTTCAGTTCAAAAGAATAATTGCCTTGTTTTCTTCTTAACACAGGTTCAAAACCTTTAAAAGCAATCAAATTCTTATCTTCATTTGGCTAGTGTTAACATTCATTGATTCCTTGTACCAGTTTTCTCATTTTTATTGCAGAGTTTCAATCACAGTACCAGGCCCGCACAATTTAGAAAAAAACTGATGGGCCACATTGATCGCAGAAAATTAACTGCAGATCAGAAAAGTAAATTTTTTGCATAAATTACTGAGTATGAGTGAGCTAGAAACATCTATCCATACACACACACACACACACACATTATATATGAGGGAGATACAAACAAATGTATAATTTTTTTTTTTTTCTATAAAGTTAAAAGAATTAGATATAAAGATAATGAAATAATTTTGAATAAAGTTATGCTTCCACAAACCTGAATTTTTTATATGTGATCAGTCATATATTTAGTCTAATGAACATTTAAAAAAAATATCTATTTTGAAGGACACAGAACGTTAAAACACAGGTTCCCATATGAATAGTGAAGTTAAACAACATCAGTCCCGGTCAGTACCTAGACGGGTGACCACTTGAAAATACCAGGTGTTGTAAGGTCAGATGTGTAGCTGGTGTAATGAATAATGACTTGAAATTCTTAATCAGAGAGCAGAGTTCCAATTGATATTTACATACACAAATACCTTTGGGAAAGGTATGAATCCACCTCTTCTCCCCACCCAGATATAGGTTAATTAGGACAAGTCACTAAAATCCATTATTATCTCAAAAAAAAATTGCACACAAAATATTTAGATAGGTTGAGATGCCACTAAACAAAAACAACCAACCAACTACTATTTTGAAAACCTCTCACAAGCCATATTGTGTAGACTCACAGGTCTTACATGACTTGTGGACCATATTTTGTGCAGGATTTCCTGTGTGTCCGTTATTTTGAGTTACCTTCTGTAAAATGGTGAAAGAAATCCTTTAGTTGACTTGAAGTAGAGATTGTATTTTCATTTCTATACTTATCATATCCACTGTCCTTCTTCATGAATTTTATTTGAGTCTAGCATATGAGTACTGTTTATTTTGATGCTCTTATTCCCAAATGTCATTATATACTCTGAGAAAGGTTAGTGAATGAGATATGCAAGAGATAGTAGTAGCAATTAATATACAATTCTAAAATTTACAATCTTACAAATTTGATCATACTGAAAATTGCAGTAAAAAGTCTTTAAAAAAAAACCTGTTTTACACTTTGGTAAATTTCCATAAAAAGCAGATAAGGATAAAGTTATAGAAGTTTGTTAAAAGAAAAATACTCTTTTTTTTTTTTTTTTTTTTTTTTAAATTCAATGTCTGTTCTTTCTTGGTTCATAGATTTGATTATGGTATTGTGCAGTGTCTATTAATTTGTTGATTTTGAGCATTGCATAATATGCCTTGCTTATTTCAAATCATTTTATTCTTCAGTACTGTTTTAAGAAAGGTAAGACATTACAGCAATTAAAATGTTGGTATTAAAAAAAGAAAAAAAGCAATAAAGTGAGGAAACTGGTTTGAATTAAACTAGCAAAAGAGAATCTCATGTACACCAAGTATCACTTTGCAGAATAAAAAGAAATTTACTTTTCGTCTTACTATTTAATTGGGAATTAAAATCATTAGATAAACATTCTTTACACATTTACTTTATTCAAGTTTAAATCTTGGAAATAAACCAAAAAAGTGAAGATAATAATTTTATGCCAAAATGTAATTTTCTTTCCTTTACTTTTGTAAGTGGAAAATGAATGATTTAATTTCAAATTTACTTCTCACACTTGTTTAAGTCACTTTCTTCCAAATATTTTCTTTTAATTTTTTTTTTTTTTAATTTTATTTTCCTTCTAATTCTTTTTTGGACAACCAGGTAATAATAAAGGTAGGATCAATACGCACAATGCATCTTTTTTCTTCATGTAATGTCCTCATAAACTTTTGCATGTTTTTTTGATGAATGTTCACCATTTGCATGACTTCATAAATTTTGTAAATTTCTTTTTTTTTTTTTTTTTTACATATGCCTTTCTCAGCCACTATCATCTCTCTCTTCTCATATGTTATCAATTTATGCATATAAATTTTCCTCAGATTCCTTCTAGAAAAGTTGGTCAAAAATTGTACACTACATATTTTAACCTCAGATTTTTGTGAAATTTCTCCATTAATTTATTTACATATTTTTATAGGTTCAGGCCTATTAAAATAAAAAATATATAAATTCTTTTTACTATAAATTGTATATTTTTAATTTTTTCTCAGGCTCTGTTTTAAATTCAATGATAGTATAAACCTATGAATGTGTGTGTGTGTGTGTATAATATATATATATATATATATATATATATCATTGAGGTCAACACTGAGTGGTGAGTGACAGTCTATTTCATGCTTTAATTCAATCTTCAGGCCATATCATGAAACAGTCGCCACACAGTGTTGACCTCAGTGTTTACTTTTATATTTACATATGCTCTATCCTGATATTGAGCACTTTTCCCCATAAATATAGAATAACTTTTATTATATATATATCTTGGTACCTCCAAAAAAGATACCAAACTTTTAAAAAATTGTTCTTAAAGCTTTTATTTTAGTTTTAATTTCAAGCTATTAGATTAAATTTGATATTTCCAATATGCCAAGTACTTTCCTGTATCTCAAACTGAATTTAAATTGATTGAAATTAGTTTTTTGTAAATCCCTAAAAATGCTTGATATTTACAAATATATTTATCACAAAGTAATACTATTTGTTAAAAAAATATTGCAAAAGTAAAATCTGAAACTTTGAGGAAGATTACTGAATTTAAAGTTTAATTAATCTAATTTGAAACAAATCTTACTTTTAGTTTAAAATATTGTATAAAAGCGCTTTTTTTTTTCTTTTTTCTTTTTTTTTTTTTAATACAGGTTGGTGTTTTTACAAAGTGTTGACAACTATCTCAAATAGACTTATGCTTGAACATTTTTTTTTCTCCAGGGGAAAACCTAAAAATTACTTAATGTCTTTTAATATACTATATAATGTCTTTTTATATAATTTTTTTTAACTGCCTAAGAATTTTAAAAATTTAGGAAAATATTCTAAGTAATCTATTGAATTGAATTTTAGATACCTTGCCTTTATTTGCTATAGTTACCACTCTTATTTTTGTATCATGTCATGAATGGATGTCTGTATTTACAAAAATCTCCACGTTTATACACACACACACACACACAAAAGAAAACTTCAAAATTCTCTTTAAAATATTGTGAATCACTGAATTCACCGAACTTTTCCATTTATAATTAGTAAATATGGTTTTTACTCAACAATATCATTGAACTGCTACAAATTAATACAGGATTTTAAGATTTAAAACTTTATAAATTATTCTAATTAAAATTTTTTAAAAATGAAAACAATTCTTG